GAAAATACTCCCAAAGAATAAAATGTTATATGTACCAAAATGGTCACTAGAGTATTATTTATGATAGAGAAAAAATAAAAGCAACCAAAATACATTCTGATCAGGATATGGCTAATTAAATTATGGGACATTTATTCATTTAAAATGATATTCACCAAGACTTGGCAGCAATAGGAAAAATTCTGGTATAATGTCAAGAGGGAAAGCAGGTTATAAAATTGTGGTACACTATGATTTCAACTATATACAGATAAGTACACATCTAGAAAAAAAAAGATAATATGAGACTTGTCATATTCTGTTCAGATATACAGTATATAGGTGATAATTTTCCAAACTTTTAGTAGCTATTAAATTGCTTTTATTATTTCTTTAAAAGAAAATAAGGATCATGAAAAGGAAATGAAAACAAATATAGTAACTATGAGTTCTCATATAGTTACTATAAATTATCATTAAATCCGACTCTGAATTCCATGGATAATAATAATGACAAAAATGAACAATTACAGAGCACTGACTCTGTGCCTGGCCCTGTGCTAAAAGCCTCATCCATATCGCTCATGAAATCCTCTGAGGTCAATAATATTGTCATCCCCCATTTCACAGATGAGGAAAACCAGAATACACAGCACTCAGCCTCTTTGAACTGCAGCTTCCTTTTCTGTGAAATAGAGAGAATAATGATAATATTCACCTTGCAACTTTCTTCTAAGGATTAAGCAAAATATTGGCTTTCTAACCTGTATGGTCTATATAAAGGTCATCAAGAGAAATAGAAACTGAACTAGGGGAGAAACTCTCCACTCTTCTGTCAAGATGGGGACAGAAACAGCTCCCTGATTGTGCTGGCCCTTCCAGACTGCCACCATACAAGGCTGCCTGCCTTGTAGAAGGACACAGACTCAGACAGGCATCCTCAGACACCCCGAAGCAATATTATTTTCAGTGTACACACACGAAGTAACAGATATCTGTGCTACATTTGAAGGTGGGATAGTTCAACCAGCAGCAATACCTGGCCTAGGAATCAGGAGACAAGGAATCTGAG